TAGCCCAGTAAACATTTACGTCTGCATGGCAACCAATGAGAACTACTCAGAGAGGTGTCTTTACACTGATCTGTCCATTCTACTTCGACTTCAGCTTTGGTCCTTGATTTTCTTCTTACAGCAGTGTCCTCTGTTGTCTCAAAGCTGCATCCAAATCTGAGGTCCAATCAGAACAGAACATTTCAATGCAAGACATGTAGAGCCTCCTCCCCTTCAGGTGGCAATAACATGCCATGCTATTTATTCTCCACTAGATGGCAGTGCAGCTTATATTTTATGGGCTCTTTAGTGAGCATCAGATGTTCTTTGACCATAAATGGACAACATTTCACTTTAAAAAAAAAATCAAATGAATTATAATAAAAAGACAAAAAGAGATGTTTGGATTTTTCTTTTTAATTTAAATGATTCACTCCTTACAGTCACTCCAACCTTTATTCCCACGCATTCCTCAGATCAACTTGTTGCAGCTGTGGTGAGCTTGAAAACCATGGCACTATGACATAGCAGAGAAACAACATCAGGGATGGGCTTTGTTAACAGACTCTTTCACAAAAATAGTCTCTTTAATGAAGGTAGATCGTATATATTTTAGGAACAGAATAAATCTTCACCTCTGAATCCTCAGGGTCTAATAATGTTTGCTTTCAATAAAGTGTTGCATAGCCGTGGAGAAAAACAGGGAGGAAAATTAACCAGATGCTCAGTTTAATGCTGATGGTAGAAGTCCCTCCATTTAATACTTTTACAGGATTGTTCTGGTTGGGAACTTTCTCCGATAAAACCTGACCTGCTTTAAAAGCCCAACTGTAAGCCTCATAGACACATGTAGAGCTGACTCAGAATGAAGAGAAAATCCACAACAATCCTAAATGAGAAGAATCTCAAAAAGCAGCTGGATGAAAATGGAGAAAAGCTTATTTCAGGAATCTCCCAGATTGTACCTTTTTTTTTTTTTTAAAAGTGCCTCTCGCTGCTCAATCAGTAAAATAAGAAAATATACTCTTGGCAGACCAACAAACAACTTTAGCTTAAAAATACTCTGTCACCATTTAGACTTTCTGACCGTCACCTTCTCTCTTGCTCTTCATCTTCCCAGACTTGCTGGTTCTGTCCAGTAATCGGATCGGACTCTGTAGAACAATCCTTGTCCAGCAGCAGTTCAATGTGTGCAAGCTGCTCTTTCTGCACCAAAGCTTGAGCTGTTCCTTGTGGCAAACCAGGAAAGGAGAAATCCCAGCAAGGCTTAGAAAGAGTCTCGCTATACTGAGCCAAGCGCTTTAAAAACCAGACGTTAAAACAAAGGAGGAAAGGGAAACTCTACAGGAACCACACCCAGTCCTAGCTGCTGGTTCCAGCTTCTCAAACTCCTGCCGGGAAGCACAAAAGCACATTCCACCTGTTCCGCCTGCATCCATACATTCATGGTGCTCCTTTAGGAAAATGTGAGCGTGTGCAGGTCTCCAAGCGTTTCTGTCATTGCAGGTTGGCATCCTTTAACTTCTCAGCAGCATCCGCAGACCTTCTGCTTTCCCAACAATAGAAAGATCCTGGAAGCTGACAGTGGTCACCGGAACTCATAGATCGCTGCACTGTGCTCAGGAACATGGGTGAGGTTCAGGGACTGGTACCTAGACAACAGAAACAACAAGAAATGTTAAAGGGCTCATCATGCAAAACCGAGTTTACATTGTTATAGATGAATAACGATAGTCCAGTAGGTGAAATGGACGAAAAGAGAAGTTCAAACCCCATCGACACCTCCTTCCTCTGCAAATCTCACAATTCTAAACTTCCATCATAAAATGGGTGAATTCAAACAAAGCACCATGATGATGTCAATTCGGGGATTTTGCCTTATTTGCTACTTTTGTTACGCCCCTAATTTGACATACAGACCAGCCCACTGGTTCCCTGGCCCAAGAACATGAATAAAGATAGATGGAAGACACCAGTTTAGCCGTTTAGCCTACAGTTGGGTTTACTTCTACAAAAAGCAGGCAGTTTCTCTATTGAAAATGAGCCAGAACCATGGGAGTAAATGCAGCGCTCCAGGCTGCACAGAGAAAGGAGAACATTTTCAGTCTTCCCAAGGATTCGAAGACTCGACAGGCATGGATTATTTTTGTGTATCAGAAGATCCCTGCAAAGTTTGATGCTCAGCTATTCATTTGCTTTAAGCATTTTACCAAATACAGCTTTCAAAGTCTTGGAAAGTTCAAAGCAGGATTTGTTAAACTTCTTTTACTGAAACGAGGGGCCGTTCCAACCGTAAGGCCATCACAACCGCAAGCTGTAAGTACTATTTTGTCGCTAAGCTGTTGATAGCAATGTTAGCATATCTATGGTGACAAGATTTGGGTTTCTGAAAAGTAGTCGAGAGGAGCCAGTTGAGGTGGCTCTGGCGTCTGATTAGGATGCCTCCAGGACATCTCCCTGGTGAGGTGTTCCAGACACGTCCCACCGGGAGGAGACCCAGAGGGAGACCAAGGACACGCTCGGTTATTTTTAGGGTTGAGGCGCAGAAAGGCTTGAAAATCAACTGAAGTCTTTGGAAGTAAAAACACGGTCCTCAACAAATAGCAAGACAAAGGTGTGTGTGTGCATGAAATATACATCAGGTATAACCCAGCCGACACATAAAGGAAGTAGCAGTAAATCAAGAGAAAAATAGATATATCATGAAAGTTTCAGTTATCCGTTATTAAGTTTATCCTTTATAGCCTTTATTAGCTGTATTCAACAAACTATTCAAATCTCCTAAAACGCTGACATACCCTGAACTTTCTATGTATTTTTTCAATTTTGGGCGAATACATAGCGTATGTATAAGTAGCCTAAAACTAATGTTCAGCGACTGCCTAACTTATGCATGACGCACGGCAGCGCAATGCCCATGAAACGTCACAAGCCAGTGTCCTGAGGGGAGCGGAGATGCACCCGGAGGCGCCCGGCCTGCATCAAGAAATGTCTTTGATCGCGGTATTAACCCAGTTGCTGTTTACCGCCCACCCAAAAGAAAAAGACTAAATACAAAGAAGGAAAGAAGGTTTGCAGTCGTAGCAGATTCAGCGTCACGTTTGCTAGGAAGTTTGTTAGTCGTGGGTGTCAACGCAGGGAGGATCCATCACACTTACCCTATGATGGGGATGCATTCTGGAGGAGAACCTCCTTTTATACCGAAACGCTGCCAATATGCCATTAAACAGTAGCCGTTCAGCGGTTGTCTGGAACATGTCAGATACATTGCTATGTGTTGGAGATAAGTTCTTTATAAGTTACGCATCAGCTATGCACAAGTTACTCATAGGTTTTGGATAAGCTAGACGCCACGACTTATGAGTAACTTACACTTAACGAATGTCAACGATCAGATAACTTACCTGTAACTTATGGCCCACATGTGCCGTATTGACCTGTGCTGTGCTGAGCTTACTTCAGCGTGCTCACAACTTATACAAAACAAACCCATAACTTATCCAACGTGTGCCAGTGTTGTTGCCAGATTTTTTGTACGTCAGGCATATGCTGGTCTAAATCGTCAAGGTGTGACAGGGGCTTTAGGATGAAATATAGACATAAAAGCTGAAATTAAGATTTTTCTGCCCCTAAAGCTCTCTGTGAAATCGCTGTACAAGATGTATTTACAAATGCACATAGAAACATGTTGAAGCATTAAAAATTACATCAAATATCCTTCTTTAATTAAGGAACAGTGAGTGTGATTACTATCAATTATGCCTAGAAACCAACTAAATTATTGTTTTCATTCATACTTTAATGAATTAATAAAGCAGAAGCTGATCTGATTAATAATTAAGCAGAAGGGAAAATATTGTGTGATCTAATCTCAGTCTGGATTGGAACCACCGGTCTTGGACTTTCCACCCTGATATAATATTCTTTTTGGTTCTGCATTTTTTATTTTATTTTTTTTCCTACTTGCTTTGATTATGTTTTATTTTCCTATATTTTAATCATGTAAAGCACATGCATTGTCTTTGTACTTAATTGTGCTATACAAATAAATTTGCCTTGCCTTGATAACATTACATATAATTTACATTCCTGCTTATGTCCACCTGTTCTGTACAGTAACAGTTTAATGTTACATCCCTGACAGTTTCCCTGCAGTACATTTTCCAGGTAATCCTAACTCTGAGCATCCATAAAACAACTGGTTACCATTCAGAGCTCCTGTGGTAGTAATAGCCCTCGATTGTGGCTGTGGACTTCTGGAAGCAGATGTAGTAAAAGCCGGCGAAGGAAGCCCCACTGATGTCCTTGATGGTGTGATCAGGAACCAGAAACTGCTCCTGAGGAAGATGGAACCACAAGAAAATATAACAGGCGACATTCGGAGACACACTGAGCAGACCTGCAGAATGCATGCAAGCAGTGTCTTACTTTCCACCTCATGAAGATATAATCAGAGTTCTTCAGGTCTTCATAGTCGAACTCATCAGAGTTGAAGGTCTTTGCGTATTGGTAAAAGGCCTGGAACTTGCCCTGAACAGAAAAACCTTACTGTTAAGGTACACTGGTCAACTGGAGACGGATTTAGCCAATATTTGCTGTAGTAAAAGTCTTAGGGATACCCAGTGTTTTCGATCCACATCTTCATCTGCGTCCCACTTCCTGGTGAGAAACGGCCGCTTCCTGCTGATGATCTCTCCAGCGAAAAAGGTTGTCAGAGTTGGATACTCCTACAGGAGAAAGCAGGAAGTGTTTAGTTCAGTTTTTTTAATACTTTATATTAATCAGCTCTAAGAAATGGAGGCATGACTCCTCTGACTCCCGGATAAATGAAGAGGGTCAAAGATCAGGGAAGGTGGAGACCTCAGCCACACACAAACAACTTTCTTTCCTGGGGCCCTAATCAGAGTCGCCCAAGTTCCCGAATAAAATGTTTTAAATAAAAAAATTTTAAAAAAAATTGAATAAACCAATCTCAAAAGTGGACAAGATACAAACAAGTAAAAGGTACACATTGCAATTAAAGGAGCACTAAAAACAGGATTTTGATTAAAAAAAAAAAAAAAGCACACAAAAAACCCCCAGAAATCATAAAAGAGCAAAAAACATCACGTTACATGTAAATGTAACAATAGATATCACAGAAATGTATTAACGGAAAGAGCCTCATTAACAAGTCCAATAACAAGTTATTATGAATGCTGTTGCTATACATCTTTTATCCATTGTCCAGGTTTTTGACTCTCAGTTTCTCAACTCTCAGATTTAACTGTAACTTTATTTCCAACTGACAAAGAAATGCCTTATTTTAATTTAAAAAAAGGATGAGTTTGAAATAATATTACCATTTTTCATAAAAATAACACCCGTTCCAAAGGATCACTGTATTTTCCACCATAATTTTTTCATTTTTCCACTAAATCAGCTTTCAGAAGCGCTAATGACAGGATGTCAGTGTTAGCTCCATGGTTCTAGGGTGGCCTCTAAGGTGCAGTAGGAGATCTTTTCTGACGCATTTTTTTACCATGTGGCTTAAAGATCGCCCCACAGCCGCTTAGCAAGCAGTGAAATAGAAGGTCTGGAAGTGAAACTAAAAAATAAATGCTACAATGAGAAATCAATGATTAACCCCAACCAATCACAAAAGACAGTCCGTTGTACACGATTGGTTCCTGACACGTCAATCATGAAGATGCTGCCTCATAAACATGGCCATTGAGTTCAATGATGACTAAATGTTCTACAAAATGCACTAAGAAAACTTCTTTTTTTATGAACTGAAATTGCTGATTTTCTTCTTTTTTTTTTTTTTTATTAAATGATAGATTAAACAAACATGGAGCTTTTTGTCTAAATATGACAACATGGAGGAATTGAAGAGACAAATACTCACTTCTGTCAATCCCTTGATCTTCAAGTAGCCACACAAGTAGGAATCTTCCATGGTGACGTGCTTTGAGAGGAAGAAAACAAAAAAACTAAACAGTCATTCCCAGGGATCCTACAACATAAGGCATGTTAAAATTAAGACTTTTTAAGACTTTTTTTTGCCCCTTGAAATAAAACTTTAAGACCAACTTTAGAAGAAAACCTGTTTGCCTCAAATTTAACCTGATGCTTATTCTAACATAAACCATTACTTTGTGGCCCAGTAAAGAAGCTAAAAACACACTTATAACATATGTATTGAACAACTTATGAATGGAATTCACAAACTTTGTTTTGATCCCCCCTTAAAGTCCATAATAGCTCTGCTTTCATTGTAGGCGAACCGCCAAACATTATCCGGAGATTTGGTGCTACTGGTGCTTTTTTTTTACGTTGGAGATGCTGTAGAGGCCTTGCAGAGACAATGGTGGAACAGAGCTGAGAAAAAGCTGCTGCTTCTCTCCAACTTAATTCTGGTGCTTTGTTTTTCACATGCCTGACTCCACAGCTTTCATTCTCATGGTGCTGAGCTCCAATGACTTCTTGCTCAAAATACGCCATTCCTCATATACATCACCTGGTTCTGTTTTTAGCCATTGCAAAAAAACTCTTGGCTGGATAGCCCATTTTCATTGAATTTACACTTCCCCATGTTATTGCCGCATCACCCAAACATTGTTTTTATTGGTTCTGCCGTCAGGATGGAACTAATAATGATTCCAGCTAAGCCGTTCGGTAAATGTGAAAAAATAATCATGACTTATTTAAATTTTTTATATGAATTACAAAAATAAAATCCCATTTATGACTTGGTGACAATTTTAAGACCTATGAAAGACTGATTTAAGACATTTTAATACAAATTAAGGCCTTATTTGTATATTGAAGAATTCATTGCCTTTTAAGACTTTTTAAGGATCTGCAGGAACCCAGATTAAGCCATATTTTTTTATCTGAAACCTTTAAGAGAACATTGAGATCAGCCTAAATAAATAAACTAAACTTTATTGATCTCACAAATGAGAAATTAACTCTCTACATTTAACCCATCTCCTTTGGGGAGCACTGGGCTCAGGGGCGGAACTAGATGGGGGGGCAGGGGTGGCCATGGCCACCCTTACCCAATCATTGGCCGCCCCTACCATTATTTTCCCTATAATACAGATGGTGACAGCAGTAATACTCTCAAGTGGAATGTTCTAAGTTAACATTTAAATTTTATATATGTAAACCTGACAAAAAACAACAACCCTGCGGTTAATTATGCACATCAATATATTAACATTAAAGATAAATACAGAATTCATGCTCTTTTCAGAACTATTTTTCGTCTCTGCAAGTCATCAAGGAATCTTCAATGATCAGTAATCCATTTAATGTAGATATTAGTACATGTAAATATACATTTTGGTCAGATTATTAATAAAAGTAGGTTAGTAATTACAATAAATAAGATTTTATCCACTACACCTTTAATTTAGACAGCATGAATGTTGCATATATATATATATATATATATATATATATATATATATNTATATATATATATATATATATATATATATATATATATATATATATATATATATGCGTCTATTTGTTAGCAAAGGCTGTAGGAAAGTATAGTTTGTCTTTATTTAGAAAATATAAATGTTGTGATTGTTCATTTTGGAACAGTGTAGACTGGGTTATTGCCTGGCCACCCTTATTTAAATGATTTGGCTTGTGCCTCTGATTGGGCTGCCACTGTGCAGCGTCCAGAGATCCCAGGGGTGTCGAACCCACAACCTCAGGATACCAAGCCCTGTTCACTAACCACTAGGCGACACTCCCACAACCTGTGTACTATTCCTCATATATAACATATCGATATTGATTTGTTGGCGTTTTGGTAACATTTTATAATATTTGGAGATCAAATGTTTTTTGTTGTTTTTTTCCTTCAGTTGTATGTATTTTATAGTTGTTTTACAAACAAATCAGGGTAAGTTAAACGAAGACGTGCAGAAACGAGATTTGTTTTTTCCAGCTGTCAGTCATCACGGCGTCAGATTGACACATCACCAAAATGCCTTTAACATTTACACTCAAACATCAATATTAAGTTCAGCACCCTACCTGCAAAACAACCTCCACATCATAAGAGTTCCCTTTGCTTTTCTGATGGCCTCTAAATTTGGAGCCGCTGTACAGGAGCGAGGTGACGACGCCCGGCTGCTGGGTGTTTATCGGCGGCGGTGGGATAAGCGAGGCCGAGGATGAGAAGGCCGCGAGGGAGGCGCTGAGGTATCCAGCGGGGACTGGCATGGCTTCGCTGGCTGCGCACCTACCGCAGTCAATAGCCGTGCTGGCGGAGGACTCCGCTCGCTTCTACGGACAGCTGAAGGAGCGCTGGGTACATCCAAAACCATTCAAACACCCATTTATCTCCGCTAGAGCACAGTTTGCCAAGGCTCTCAGGAGAAGTAGAGCGGACTTCGTTGCTGCGCTCTAGCGGGAGCATCGCGCTCTCCCATTGGCTGGAGGAATCCACTTCACCAATATCGTAACCGATCATTGGATGAATATGCGGAAGTTCTCACGCAAACGTTTGAGTGTAGTTTATTTCCTAACGCAGAAGGTTTTACAACGGTGTTAAAAGACTACATATCCCTTTCTCAGAAAGCTCATGAAACCGACTGAGAGGAAGGTCACACGCGTGCTTTTGAAAGCTGAAGCTGCTTTGCTAAAATAAAAACAAAACCAGCAGATATTAGTGTAGCTGCTTTATGGAGTTAGTTTTAAAGGTATAGCGACGCTAACAATGCAGCAGTTTTACTGACCGACAGTTTTCTGTATCTTTATCTGTTATAGCATCTCCACCTCATTAAGTTCAGCTATGTTTAGAGGCATTGCTAGACTGCAGAGCCACTTTGGAGGTTTTATTTCTCATTCTAAAGTTTGTTCAAGACATCAACAATACAGGGGTGCCCTGAAATACTCCACTGCCTCAACAGGTAGGAAGATAACTGCACCGTATAGAAAATGAACAGATGCTGAATTGTGTTGATGTTGCTGTCTTGTTTCTTTACTAGAGAGGAAGAGATTTTATCAGGATGTCAGTATATCCCAGGGTGAAGGTAAGCATAAGTCTCAATCCTTTAGCAAATTTTCCTCTAAATTGCCCTATAATTAGAACCTTTCAATAAACATGAAAAGCTTCCCTACAGCGTTCCCGTAGCATGATGCTGCCACCACCCAGCCTCACTATGGGGTGATATGCAGTGTCTGTTTACTACCAAACATGAGTTTTATGAAATGAAAATTATTCAGTTTTGGTCTCTTCTGACCTCAGCCCAGCTGCACATATTTGCTGTTTGTGCTGAATGGCTATTGCTGCTCTTCAGTAGAGACCAGGTTTTCATAGAGTGGGACTAATGGCTCCTATGAGTTTTACTGATTAGACTGGATTAATTGTTAACACTTGATTTAACTTTAAAGTGTCAGATTATAATCTGACACTGTGCTATTTTTTTTTTCTTTCTATTTTGCAGTTTTCTCATCTGGTCCAATCCCATTATATTACACAGTAATCTGTGTTTGTAACATAACTGTGCATAACTGCATTTGAGTCACTGTGAAGATTGCTGTCCTCTTGCGTTATTCTGCTGTATAATAAATATTTGTTTATAATAGTTTTTTTTTTTAAACGAAATTACAGGTGGTCTATTTGAGGTAAACCTTGACAAGAGGAAGTTAAAAACTCCCAATGGGCAGTTGTTCACCGTACCAAATGAAGCGCTGGCCATCGCCGTGGCTACAGAGTGGGAAGCTCAAAAAGACACAATCAAGTTCTACACCATGCACCTGGTATGGCTGTTTACCTTTTCTCCATTTGTTAGATCTTAAAGGTCCTATGTTATATATAAAATGGTGCTTTGTGTGCAGTGTAGGTTATCAATGTTTCACTATTATCTCCATTATAGAATGTTGTGCTAGCTCCAATAGTGTTCTCGCTCATGTTGCAGCACACAGCTTGGTTTTTACCTGCTATAGTTTAAAAAAAAGCTGCTGTGGTACTTCTAAATGCAGGATATTTGTGTTAAAAATAAGCCTGTTTTATTCCTAATGTCCTGCAGCATGAATTTAATGCAATATTACATGAACCCCATATCTTGTCATCAATACTTTAAGAAGTCAGTGTCTCCATTTGTCTGGTTGGAAATAAGAACGTCTGATGTCAGACATCAGTCTGAAACATGACCATCATATTAATATACCGTACTCCCAAAGCTCAGAAGTGGTCATCAGGTGAGCCTCAGGCTTGGATTTTATGAGAGGAAACTACCTGTAGAGATGCTGCTTTGTACTTTTTTTACCTGATGAATTTGAACTGATTTCATTGGGGTTGGAAACTTTCTCTACAGACTACTTTGTGCAACACTGCTCTGGACAATCCCACTCAGCGCAACAAAGACCAGATGATCAGCGCTGCTCTTAAGTTTCTGGAAACAGACACCATTTGGTATGCTTTTCTTAATATTGTGTGCTAACCTCCCCTAACTTCCTTTAGAAATGTCTTCTCCCTCAATAAGTGAGGTTTTAGATGCTTCTGCATTTCAAACCCGTTGACAGATTCATCAATATATATAATCTAAATGGATCTATGCCCATTCTCATCCGATTTTAGGTTCGAAGCTCTTTAATGCTTTTCATATTATAAAAAAGTAATTTTAAAGGTTGACAGATATGGATTTTTGCAGCATTTTGTTGTTTCATGTTGCAATGTTCACAGACTAGTCTTAGAATAGAGGCAGAATGAAGCAGAATGATGAAAAGTGATGCCTATGTCCTCCAGCAGTCTAAGCCCATAGCAGCAACTATAGAGATAGCTCAGGATTACCTCAGCCACTAAAACTATAGGTTTATTAAAAAGTAAAGTTCTAAGCCTTGTCTTAAAAGTACACAGGGTGTCTGCCTCACAGGCTAACACTGTTAGTTGGTTCTATAGGAGAGGAGCATGACAAGTTAAAGATCTGCCTCCCATTCTACTTTTAGAAATTCTGGGAGCCACTAGTAAACCTAGTAAATAAGAAGCCCTAGTTTATAAATTAATTACTCTACAAGGATAAATTCTGATTTCTGTTTGGAATTTGTGACCTCTTCAGTCTGCAAAGCTCGGTTGTAGAATATAAGTGAACATCACCCAAGCTATTCCATGATTTAGGGGGAGGGTCAGGGGAGCTACAACCACTTTCTGGGTTCCAACCCCACTGTTGTGTACAGCAGGTAGGAAAACTCTGCTCCACCAAAAGAGAACAGTCACAATTCTTATTGATCTGATGGGCGTTTGAGCCCTTAGGTAGCGGTTTGATGCTAAATCCTGATAGTTTGCCTTCTGCACAAGTAAAGAATGTGTGCTTGTTTTGTTTCAAGCATCCTGAAGCTAGATTTCTTGAAATAAATGATTGAAAGCATATTAATATGACATCTAATCGTGTATAGCAAATGAGTGTTTATTAGACAAGCCTGTAGCTGATGGAGAGCAATTGGCACACCATTTTTGACACCTTGTCAAATGGGCAACAGACAGAGAATAACTTCAAGAGATCCTGCTACCGACCAGCGTTGGTTCATGGAGTAACTTGCAGAATAAAATTCACTTGCGATAACTGCTACCCAGCTTTCTGAAACCAAAAATCCACAATATGCAGGAATATACAACAGAATTTACCTGAGTTACTCATCCCACTTTCTGAAACAGGGCCCAGCGGGGCCTCTAGAGAGGGCTGATGCTGTCCATCAATCTTAAGGCTGTAATTGAAATGTAAAGAACTCAGAGTTCCTGCTGTAGATTTACTCCATCTTAAAAAAGAAAGCAAACAAACCGTAGAACTTATCACAACGAATTGGGTGAATGTTGAAATAAAATTCATGCTTGGATTATTTGATTTGATCAATTCTATTAAAACCAAAGGGGCATCGGACTAAGGCTACGTTCATACTGCAGCCTGAAGTGACCCAAGTCTGATTTTTTTGGCCCATATGCGACCTGGATCTGATCTTTTCATGGCTGTCTGAACAACACAGATCCGACCCAGGCCACTTGGTTATGTGGTCCTAAATCCGATACAAATCTGATCTTTTCAAATCCGACCTGGCCGTCATTAATTCCCGACAAAGGGTTCTATTATGCATCTTGCTACGCAGAAGCTGCAAGAAAAACAACAACCATGGCAGATGATGATGCGGAGAGCAGTATTTATGTTTAACCATATTCAAAAGATTGAGTTTTTATGGTTGGAAAAGACCGCTAGATGTGCGCCGGCACTACCATCCATGTTTACTTCCGTAAACATAGAGCACGCTGGCCTATGAGGTCATTGCGTCCTCTACTGCGCATGCGGGACATTGCTTTGTGTGACTGCAGTTCACACAGGAGATCACATACAAGTCGCATATATTTGGAAATGTGAACGCCAATGAAAAAAAAATCGGATTTCACAAAAAAATCGGAATTGAGCATCTAGGCCTGCAGGGTGAACATAGCCTAAGAGCTCTGAATCAATTGCTGGCCTTTTGGATTGAAACGAAGCTCAGCATGACACTTAGGCCCCGTCCACACGAAGTCAAAACGAACACGAAACGCTAATATTTTCCAGAACGTTTGTCGTAAAGACGGAGACGTAAAATAAATGTGATCGTCCACACGAATGCATGAAAACGCTGCAAAATGTATGCCAGGCCTGTAAGTGGCGCTGTGGTGCCAAAGCAAAAATAGGCGACGAAATGTTGGGCAAGCGCACTAATATTTATACATGGTTGCCCTGCGGGTCCATTTTCGTTGTTCAGTCAAATTCAGGTGCTGAACTATGTCGTCGATATTGCTCTGTTCTTCCTGGAGATATTCCAGAAGAAGAAGATTCTGTTGTAAGCCCAACAGCAGGGTGAGTAGCATTAGCAGCAACCATTCAACACAGTACGGCGCCATTGTTGTTGTGATACTGTGTCGCGCATGCGTGTTTAGAGGCGACGCTATGACGCATGCGTGTAAGAAAAAAAATGCGGTTAGAGCTTAAAGATGGAAACGCGAAAACGGCGTTTCAAAATCTTCCCACTCTGAAGGCTTAATAAAAAAAAGATTGTTTACAGACCCCCGAAACGCCGGCTTCGTATGGATGAGAGGCTGGTTTGGTGGAAAATGTGTGCGTTTAGGCCAGGGTTCGGCTTCGTGAGGACGGGGCCTAAGGGTATAAAGATTAGACTTGAAATGGGCTGTATGTTTGCCAAAATGTTGTTATTCTCCCTTCTTTGTGTGGTTTTAGCTACAGAGTAGATGAACCTCCAGGTTTGGTTGAGCTGCAGAAGAATGAATGGGACCCTGTGCTTCACTGGATTGAAGACAGGTAAGAGTTAAGGAGCTGATGTTGGAGTAATGCTTGTTCTGTTAAATATGTAGTAACTGCAAAAATATTCCTCCTTATTTTATGCAACAGATACAACGTCACTATTGGATCTTCGTCCAGTATTTTGGGTCCTGAGATCCCAGAGGAAACTAACGACACGTTCAGACAGCACCTGAGTTCATACACCCTCTGGTCCCTGACTGGTAGAAGATCAGCACTGAATATTTAGATGCCCTTTCAAAGCCTGGGCCTTAGTTTATGATCATCTGTGGTATCTCCTGTGCAGGGCTGGAGTTTGTGATCTCACAGCTGAAGTCTTTGGTACTTTCCCTGGCGCTGATTGACAGACATCTGAGCGTAGATCAAGCAGTGCTGCTGTCCAGGCTGGAGGAGGAATACCAGGTAGGATGGACTAAAAACACGGCTAAACAAGGTCTATTGTGAAATCTGCCTGGTTTAAAAACTCTGCAGAATTAGCTTTTTATTTGAGACATTTGTTTTCCATTTTTCTTGATTTTGTTGTCTCTATTTTTTCAGATTCAGCACTGGGGTAATGTAGAGTGGGCACATGACTACGACATGTATGAGCTGAGGGCACGGGCAGCTGCGGGAGCTCTTTTTGTCCACCTCTCATCTGAGAGCTCAACCGTGAAACGCAAACTAATGCAGGACTGATCAGGATTACCTGGTACCCATTGAGCAACAACGGCAGCAAATCTACCCTAAAACATTGAGCTTCAGAGGCGGAACTCACTGAGCAACCCATTACTACATTGTTCTAGTCAGCTGTGACACATACCAGAAGACTGAGTCACCTGCATTTAGTAAACCGCATCCATGTTTTCTTGATGTCAGTATGACTCCCTTTCCACTAGGACATTTTGGAAACAGGTTCCATGGTCCTCAGCCCTTTTAGAATAGAGCCATCACCTCAGCACATACTGAGTTTAATGAGTACCATCATTGTTTGGCCATGATTATTTCATTTCAGGACGTGGTTTCAATAAGCTGCCTGTTCTTGATGGTTCATGTAATAAAATATAAAAATTTGAAAACCTCCAAATAGGAAAGTTGAAGTTTCACAGCCTCAATATCAAATGTATTGTCTAAATACTAGCTCTAGTTGTCAACTCTGTTTATTGTGCATGTCTATTTGTTTGTGTATCAGTAAATCTGAGAGGTTTTACTGCACAGTGTCTGTTTTCCTGTCATGTTACAGGGGCACAGCAGCTGGCACATCCCACTGAGTCTAGTACTGTTTGGTATAAAATAGGAGAATTTGCTAATTCAGTGAGAAATCAAACTATTGTTGGTATTTCAAGGGGTTTTCATCATGTGTAAGCCAGAAATCATCAAAATAACAATAAAGGCTTTGAATATTTCATTATGTGCAAAGAGTTTCAAATTCTTAAATTAGGGACAAAAATTTTACATTTAATAATTTTAGGTTTAAAATATTTCAATTACCACAGCATCAGAACAATAATCTTAATTGTTAAATGTCTGTTTTTTAAAATCATTTGCATTTTACCTAGTCACATAATTTTCCAGATATTACATTTTTTAAGCTTTTAGATAAACAAAACATCTAAAGGCCTTTAATGGGTATTACCAGTTTAAAGCAGGAAATATATTTTTTCCAAAGTTTTTTTTATATATATATACATGCATTAAAATGAATATTACAGTCATGACAGTTACGTCACGAGTTGATTTGGCCTAACCTTTAGCTTCGTTTATTTACCGTGTTGCGCTCGTCGAATCAAAATCAAGGAGAAGAATCGCTTCGGCCAATAGGGTAAGTGTGTGGGTGGGGCTTATGAGATGTTTCTATTGTATCGCCGCCGTCGTCCATGGATTGACTTGTTTGTCGAGCAAGATGGAGTTCCTTTTGGGAAATCCGTTCAGTACCCCTGTGGGGCATTGTATCGGTGAGAAACACTACTTTAAAGACAACATCGCGAACTTGTACATCTTTTTGTGTAGAAGTCATATCAAAAGCTGCTACTTAGACATGCTAACGTCCCTTACGGAGTGGAGGTCCACCGTTAGCCGCCTAGTTATTAAGCAGCTAGGCTCATATTTATGTCATTTTTTAACTATTTACGTTAACTAAGTCTCCTTTATATGGTATTTGTTATTTTTAGCTAGAGCTAATGTTATTTGCAGTCGAACTATATATTTTTAAAGGGCTACGTACTAAATTAGCTTGCAGCTAGCCACTAGTCATCGTCGTGTTATTATGGGAAGACTTCGCTTTTTTTCCTGATATTCTAGGTTTGTTTTTCAGAGAGAGCCACCGATGGCTCCCTGCAGAGTGAAGACTGGACCCTGAACATGGAAATATGCGACATCATCAATGAAACAGAGGATGGGTGAGTTGCTAGCTCTGTAGGTTTGCTAGCTATGCGCTCACAGGTGTGTGGTATTTACATTAGGACTAAAGGCTGCTGCTTTTCATACCTGGGCCAGATTAAGTGATGTGGCTCCGGCTGTGTGGGGTTGGCCCATGCAAGGCCTCATTTCTTATCTTATTGCTTCATAATCGTCTGCTTTTATGCCTGAAACTGGTGTGTGAAGTCCAGCTTTTTGTTTGATTAGTGGGTTGTAAACTGGCCAAGCCCAACATTCAAAGCAGTCTGCTCCAACCAGACTCGCTCTCTACATCTGCTTTTGTATGAAGGTAAACATGTCTGTTTTTAATGTTAAATGTGCCATTCATCCCTCCAAATAGGTTGGACCAGTAAAATATTTAAAACAGTTACTTATTATTGTCTTATGGGAGAGCAGAGTCCACATGAAGACTGTACTTCTTAAATTAGGATTTTACTTTTCATTTTACTTTCGAAATCTTGGCTGTTGTCCCTGCCTGAGAATGTAACTTGACCCTCTCACCAAACAGTTGTTGCATTGTTGGTAATAGCTTTCTGGTTTTTGTTAGAGTTCATAACTTCTTTGTATTTTATTGAATTTTCATTTAGCAAACATACATAAAAAAACAGATGATTGTAATGGAGCCTGTAATTAAATCAACTTTATTTTTATACAGTCACAAAAGTAGAGAGTGGATTTGTGTTCACCCGCCTTAACTTTGGTCTCCCAATATCACCAATGTGACCATTTGTCTTCAGAGTCTCACTGGTAAACGGAGTCCACCTGATTTGATTCTGTTTAAAGCAAATTCTGTTCCTAGCACATTCTCCTAAACATGGAGAGGATGGACCCCCCCCAAGACCTACAAAGAGATTGACATCCACTTAGACTAATAGGGTGAGGGAGAGCATTGATCGGAAAAGCAGCCAATAGGACCATCTATTAGCTCAACATCCGTTTATACATCTGCTATGTCCACCGGGCTTTATGGAAGAGTAGCAAGAAGAAAGTCATTAGTGAGGACAAAAAAAAAAAAAAAAGCCAGAAGTTGTTCTGTTTGCAGTTTGTGACGAACCAAACATTTGGAAGAAGGTGATCTGATGGGAGACCAGAACTCAACCTTTGGGCCTAAAAGCTAAATGCTTTGATATAATAAACTAACACTGCTGGACAAAACATACCCACTGTCAACATGGTGCAGGAAGCAGGGAAACTGATCAGAGTTGATGGAAAATAGATGGAGCTAAACCAAAACAATCATTAAGGAAAAACCTGTTGGGTGCTGCAGAGGATGGAGGTTCACCTTCCAGCTAGATGACCACCCTGAGCATCTTGCTGGAGATACAATGAAGGGTTTGGATCAAAGCATATTCAGGGGTTAGAATGGCCTAGTCCAAGTTCACACCTGAGTCTAAATGACTGTTTGTGTCAGTAGGTGACATTCTCCATCTAAAAAAATGTTTGGCTATTTTTCAAATCAGACTCAACGATAAGTTTTCACTTGAAATGTGAAAATCTGGTAAAAACCCAAAAGGCCCAGAGTTGCAACTCCACAACCAGGTGGTTCTAAGAAGCTTCATTTAGAGCTGTGGATAGAAATGCATGCCACAGTTTAGAGTTTTGTTTAAACAATGGATCGCTTTTCTTCCACTTAACAATTGTTTTTTTTTTTTTCAGTTCTGAAAAATAAAATAGTAAATATATCAGTGTCTGTTGCTCATAAAAAACATTAAGTTATTTTAACTTAACTTAAACACTGAGAGCTTGCCTGGTTTATGATCTGAACATGTTTATATTCAGCAGAAAGGCCAGGCTGAGTTGTCACGGTTTGTTTCTCCTCTCTTTAGCCCAAAGGATGCTATTAGGGCGGTCAAGAAGAGACTCGGCGGCAACAGGAACTATAGGGAAGTGATGCTGACTTTAACAGTGAGTTCAAGTGTCCCTCTGCTACAGTATCATACTATAGTTGTAGCTCTCCCCAAACTGCAGCGTTCTCATTCTGTCATTGCCAGGTCCTTGAGACATGTGTGAAGAACTGCGGTCATCGTTTTCACGCTCTAGTGACCAGTAAGGACTTTGTTGATGGCGTGCTTGTTAAAGTCATCTCTCCTAAAAACAACCCGCCCACCATCGTTCAGGACAAAGTGCTCGCTCTGATCCAGGTAAGGAAATGGTTCTCGGTCTGTTGTTAAATGTGCGGTTAATGGTGATGCATCTGTCCAGGAGAGGGCCTGTTGAGTCTTCAGGGCTTGAATCGAGCAGCTCTAGTTACCTTTTTGTTCTCAGGTGACACTGCAGCTCCTATTTCCACCTGTGGTAGGAAGGGAGAGGGCTTAGTTGTAGCTGGTATTAAGAGAAAAGCATTTGTTTGTTGAGACAACTGAAGATATTTAGAGCTGCTCTCCTGTCAAACAGCAGCTGCAGTATTTGTTGACATTTCAATGTGGAAAGAAGAAGACAGAGGATTTGTTAAACAAGCCTTTTCCACTTGTCTGATGTTGTCGTCAGATGTTTGTTAAAGTCCTGAAAGTACTGACTGTTAAAGGAGTTGATCTTCCTTAAGCTGGTCGTATAACCCTGCTGAGTAATCAAGATGAGTTTGTGATGTTTATGCTTATCTATAGTTTAATCCTGAGGTTGAACCTTTGAAATGGCTGATTGGGCTTAAAGCCAAGAGCCTCCGCCAGCTGCACCATCTCAAAGTATAAATACCTTGAAGCTTTTTCTTCGCCGTCTCTCATTTAAAATGATTAAATTAAACGTTTTTGAAATGATTTACGGAATCGGCACCAGAACACCTTTTGTCATACCCTGTTTGTTTCTTTTGTTTGTTTTTACTGGCTGCTCGGCTGCTAACATGTTGGAAGCAGAATATCAGTTTTCAAGTCTTATCAGAGGCTGGACAATAATACAATATCCACATATATCGTGATACTTTATTTCATATCAGTGATATGAAATATAAAAAATTTAAATCTATTTTAGTCTACGATCACACAATTTGTTACAGACTGAGGTTTCTGGTTTTTTGTAGTTTGTTGTTTTTTTTAAAGCTAATATTTCTGAAATGTTCTATTGGAGGATTTTCATAAACTTTTCAACATAATGTTTAGAATTTTGTACAGGATTCTGTTGTAAACATTCATGACAGTCTTTCTTAAGCTTTGATTTTGTTTTGATATTGAAACTAAATAGTATCCACTGCAGTTAAGCTAAATACTGTTTTGTTTTTCAAGGGTTATTTAGGTGTGAACTTTGACTAGGCCATTGTAATACGTGAATAGGGCTGCAACTAACGATTATTTTGCAAACTGACAAAATATTCGATTAATAATAATATAGCAAAGATTTTTATAGAAGACTTTTGACGAAATTAAACCAAGTGAAACCCAACTTTAACTGGATGGAGCATATTGATGGACAAATCTTTTTTTTTAATCTTAAATGCAAAAAGTTTATTTTTTTTTTAACAATATTGTTATAATTAGTGCACTAAATGGGTCGCTCTCTCAGCTAAAGGCATGTTTTAGAGTCTCTATACTCAGTTACTAAATTAGTTGACGGTTATTTCAATAACCGATTAAACTGATTATTTCAGCCCTACACGTGAATATGCCTTGATCTTAAATACTGCAGCTTGGCTACGTGTTTCTAGTTACACAAAACATAAACAAAAACGTCTGTGTCTTTATAGAGCTGTGATGAAGTTCATGAGAACTCCATTCATGTTTTGATGGTATTCATGCTTCAGCCCTCCTCCTACTTTAAACCATGTTGGTTCTTCAATTTCCTCGGTAAAAAGTGAAGCTTAATTTTACTTCGTCAAAGGGGGTCAGAAAGTTTGCACCTTTGATATGAGGAATCAGTTTGAATCCAGGTTGTGTCAGGAGGAGCATCCAGTGTGAAGCCTCTGCCATGTCTGTTTGCCCGCTGTAACGACTTGTTTCTTGGGTCTTGTTCTGCAGGCGTGGGCCGATGCATTCAGGAGCAGTCCAGATCTCACAGGTGTAGTTCAAGTGTATGAGGAGCTGAAGAGGAAGGGCATCGAGTTCCCCACATCAGAACTGGAGACTCTGTCACCTATACATACACCTCTGCGGGTTAGAGGCATCCTTTCTGTCTCTCTCAACAAAGACTGGTCATCTCTGCGGTTTTAAAAAGTCTCTGTGTTGCTTACAGGCAGCATCAGCTCCAGAGGGCGACTCCACTCTACATCGGCACAGCACCAAGACTAAACCAGCAGCGCAACCTGTCCCTCCAGCCTACAGCAGCCCTCAGGTCCCCAACTTGCCTTCATCTGGAGCCGTCAACCCGACCCCTGAACAGGTGCGCTGTAAACTCCTGTGATTTTTAATTAATCTCTACGTGTGCAGACGCTATGCTCTGATTGATGGGGCAGCGCTCTATGTTTGGACCAATCTCTGAGTTGAGGAGTCTTCTCTTTGTTTCTGCTTTCTTATCAATGACATATAAACATCATGCTGCTCCTTACTGAATAATGAATGAGGAAAACTGTATCTTCAGTCGATTTGGTGGAAGTCAAAACCATTTTAGGGTCTGTAGGCAGGAAGGATCTTCTGTACTGGTCTTTCTTGCTCCAGATCTGGAGAAGCCTTTAACTAAAGACACTCTGTTGGTATTTTCTCTAATGTTCTTCATTTTATGGTTCCCCTTTGGTGCCAACATTTCTACCAATTTTAGTATGGATCCTTCTCAATACTTTTTAAATGGGAACCCTGATAATGGTTACAGGGCACAAATGATTCCAGGAGTTTTTCCAGGGGCTGTACACCCTTATATTATGTATATAGTGCCAATGAGTCCTATAAGCACTAGATATTCTTTTTGATGCATTGTCAGACTGATATTTTTGGTTGATGTTGGCATTTTTTTTCATATACATGCATGTGTTGTCTGATTCATACGTGCATTCAGCAGCCATGCTTTGAGATCCTGTGGAGAGCATGCATTGCCACTCTCCTTCATTTGCTAGATATTGTTAATATTTAGTTTAAGTTGATAAGAGATATTTCTTTTTTCATTGAGTTTTGTGTGGGAATTTGCTATCGTTTTCATTTTTATCATGTAAATTGAGGAAGAAAACGCAATATAGCCTTTTAAGAATCCGACCAAAAATATTGGCAGGACGTATAAGAGATCAATGATGTCAAAATAATGGGTATGAGCCTCAAAAAAAAAAAAGAAATAAAGGTCTGTAACAACTGCAATAAGCAATAAGTTTCTGAGAGAAATCCTTTATTTTTATAAAATCTCCATGAATGTTTTAGTTAGCATCATGGCAAAGAAACTAATGTAGGGTTCAGAGTATTAAGGCACGACTCTGAGATTTATTACACTGGATGAAAAAATGATTTTTTTCCATCAATGTCTCTCAGATTAGCCGGCTCCGCAGTGAGTTAGAGGTTGTTCGTGGAAACACTAAAGTGATGTCAGAGATGCTGACTGAGATGGTGCCAGGACAGGAGGATGCTTCAGACTACGAGCTACTACAGGTAAGATGTTCTGAGTCTGGGCTCTGGAGGAACGTAGAGGGCCGGGGTGCTTGTAGACGTCTTAAAACAATGGTTGGCGTGTCGCTCAGGAGCTGAACAGGACGTGCCGAGCCATGCAGCAGAGGATAGTGGAGCTCATCTCCTGCGTATCTAATGAGGCAGTGACTGAGGAGTTGCTGCATGTAAACGACGACCTCAACAACATTTTCCTCCGCTATGAAAGGTCAGAACTGTAAAAAATCAAATGAATGCTTTAGTGTTCTGTCAGGGGTGAGTTGGCTTTGATACAACTGATCGTTTTCGGTTGCTTTAGCGTTTTAGGTGTAATTTAGGGACGTCCCAATCTGTTATTAATATCGGATATGGGTCCTATACTACCCAAAAAACTGATATCAGATTTTATTGGTTAAAATATCAGATATTTTCATGCAGATAGAAACATACTTCTGTTAAGTTTCTATAATCCATTGGTTAATTTTGCATGTGTCATTGGTTTTCATACCTTTTTGGTGTGGCTTTTGTTCCCTGTATAGGGAACATTTATTTTTTAAACGATTAAACCGGGCAAAACTAAAACTTTTCCACTCCAGAAGTTCCGGATAGAGCTTATTGACGGACAAATGTTTTTTTTTTTTTTTTTGTTTTTTTTTATCTTGAATCCTAAATCTTTATATGTTTTTGTACACTTTTGGTATATTATAATGATTAATAAATTATAGATTATTTCAATAATCACTTGATCATGATTAATCCGATTAATGGTTCCAGCCCTTCTTTTCAATATTTTTGAATTATCTGAAGGCTGTGTTGGTTTTGTTGTATCTTGCTGGAAAAAAGGTAACCAAATATGATCCCTTTTTTTTTTATATAATTAATGTCTGAGCTTTTTTGTATTGTTTTAAAATTGGCCAAATATCACTTTATATGTACATCTGGGCACCATATCTTTATCTAATCCCAGGTCCCTTTTGAAAAAAAATATTCCAATAAATGTTTGAGATGGTTATAAAATGCTGAATTAAGCCAATATCTGTAGTAAATGCTGTTCTTTTCTCTTCCTGGTCTATGATGAGTTTTGATCATCTCTTCAGAACTCTGAATTATTATTAGTTTAATCGCTGATTCAGCTTTGAGTTGATCCCAGTTTGTCTTCATTCAACCTTCTTGTTGCTTTAGGTATGAGCGCTTTCGCTCCGGGAGGTCCACAGCTCAGACCGTCAACAACGGGGTGAGTCTTATTTAAACAGATTAAGGATCTGACTTATTAGCTTCACCGTCGTCTTCTTCACATCCATCATCTTTCATGTCTGGTCGTGACACCAACAACCTCTGAGTGTCTGATGCACATGCTAACCTGAGACCCAGGCAGCTCAGAACAATCCATGTCTTAAAAGCTGTAGATTTCTAGAGATCAGCTCAAGGCAGCGTCTCCCCAGCAGGGGGCGTCGCTCTGACCAAAGCAAAGGAAATTGACCGCTATGGTTCCTTCCAGACCCAAAACTCTCCAGTCAGAAGAATTATAATAAATGGTTATGTATATTTTAATCTAGCAGGTTTATTAAAGATGTGTCTTTAAATATTTTTTTAACCAGTTATTTATTTACATGCTGGTTTATATCTAAATTTCTTTGTTAAACCAAGACATTAGCAGTTTTTTGTAAAAATGGCCTCTGCTCTGCGGTGCCTTTCAAAATAATTCCCACCCTGTTTCCCAATGCTTTATTTAAACTGAGATTCTGCTACACATGCTGCCTGTATTTACTTACTGGGCGTCTATTTTTTTTTTTTTTTTTCCCTTGCACTGTGTCACTGATTTCATTTAAAGTTTTTTTTTTTTTTTAATGAAAAGCATAATTGCTAAATTTCTAAAGGGTGCAGTGGATTTTCAGAGAAAAGTAGGCAAATAATAAACAAAAGTTTAAAGGTTTTTTTTTAACCTCTTTTAAAAATCTTAAACTCTATAAAGTTTCTTTCATTTTCCACTAATGCACCTTTTTTTGGTGTGTTTTAAATGATAATGATGCAAACTGTTGAAAGTGTTTACCGCCAGCCATGGTTTATATCCTGGTTCTTCCTGCTAATTACAGTAAAACTCTTTGATTTTTAACCTTCAATCAGGCAGTAGGGAGATGTCCATTTAGCTGCATCATTCTGGGGTCCCCGGTCCTAAGCATGGCTCATCCTGCATACTTCCTGTCATTATGTTGTCTCTGTACTGGCATGCTAATAGTATTCACTGTCTTTCCTCTCTGTCCATGTACTTCTGTTTCTGGGGCTAGCTGAGGAAGGCAAGTATGGAGAACATGTCATCTTTAATGAGCAGCATCACCTCAGAATAGAGAGATTGCTAAGATCCAGGCTTATTCTTCACTCAGTACCTTTATTCCCTTTGGCAGTGGTTCTCAAACCTGTCTGGTTGAGCCCTTTTTGTTGTCCCCCTATGAATTTTTAATAAATGATAAACAACCTTTTAAAGATTTAGTGTAATAAATATTTCTTATACTACCTGCATCAAAAGTCGTCCTGTTACATCATCGCCTGCAGTTATTACATCATTATAAATGTTTATTGTTGTGCTACACCAATCAGATAAGAAGGCTGCTGGAGCTGAAGGTGTAGCCAGAGTTCCTCCTAATCTATCTTTGCTCTCCTTATCAGATTGGGAGCTACTGCCATGCAGCTTGTTTTCACCCTGCAGTCCCTATTAACTTGAACAGGAAGTAGATTTTAGCAGCATAGCACCAAAGTAAAAGAACGGTTCTGTTGTTTTTTTCTGAGCTCTTCTTAGGGGGATTTATGTTTATTACGCTCCTTTAGAACCTCTGTGTGTTTCTAAGAATAATTTCCCTTTACAACCTCCTCCCCCCTTAAGAACCAGCTTTCTGTGAAGTTCTTCCCGTGACCTTCAGACACATTTTCATACCTTCCTTAAGTTGACCCCTAAGTTTTAAACCTGCTCTGCCTGCTTTTTTTTAAATGTGAATCACTCCTAACTTCTCAGACCTTTTCTTCCAACATTAAATGTGAGCTTTAAATGCTGGTGATTCCTTGTTGATCAGGTCCTCAGCGAAGCCACAGAGGACAACCTGATTGATCTCGGTCCAGGCTCCCCTGCGGTGGTCAGCAACATGCCGAACTCAGCTCCAACCAACTTGCCCCCTACCCTGACAGGAGGACCCTCCTCCCCGGCCACCTTAGCCTCCCGTCTGGCTGGTTTAGGTATCCAAGCAAGCTCATCTTAGGCCTTATCCACATTTAAAGCTGCAGTAACATGTTTGTTTAGACTAGTGCTATAGTACTTAATCAAGTAGAAGCTTATTGGAAGGAGAAAGCTGGTGTTGTTCCCAGGTGTAACCACAAGGGGGTAGCACCGGGGTTGATCCCGTCTCTTTAATAAGGCATAAAGGAACAAACCTTCTTGGTGTTAAATGATTGTTTAAAGTGTCTTTTTTTTTATTTTTATAAAGGTTTTTAAAGAAGGTTGATTATTTTCTGGAGATCCTGCAGCAGATCCAGATTGCTGTTCCTGTAAAATCTGACTTTTGTTTTTTCTTGGTCTCCCCTGTAGATCTGGGTGCAGACAGTGTGAGCAGCACCCTGAGCGCTCTCAGCAGCTGTAAGCCTCCGCCTCCACAGGACGACTTTGATACGTTTGCTCAAACCAGGAGTGGAGCTCTGACAGAACCACACAGAACGTAAGATCTAATTAAATGAAGGAAGTTCTGGGTTTTTTGGTCCCTTTGGGTGCAGCAGAAAGCTGCTGCTGTTATTTAAAGGAGAAGTTCGGTTTTTTACACTTTAAGCCCATTTTCTGTAGTGTCCAGGATGAAATCGAATGAAGGACACCAAAATTTTGACAATTGGTCCTGTCTCTGCTTTTTGGCTCATTTAGAATCAACCCCTGGCTGCTTTAGAATGGCTAGCATAGAGCATGTCCGATAATGTCCTTAAAACAACCTTAAACGTTCTTTTTT